TCCTGCTCTACCAAAAATTAATACCTAATATTTAAAATGTTGATATATCATAGGGTATTTATTATTTTATATTATTAAATTCACGATACAAGTTTACATTTAAAAGTAAATTTAACAAAAATAATATTAGTCGAACAATATTCAAAATAATTTATAGGGGACTTGATACTTTATTTTAATTTTAATACCTCTATATTATTTAATTTGATAGTAATTATTATTAGAAGTTTTTTTTTTTTTTCATTTATGTGATAATTAAAATACTAAATTTGATTAAACGATTGCATGTTTTTAAACCATACAAGAAGTATCTACCTAAATATAAAAAACTAAAAATCAGAAAAAATTTTATGGCACACTTGACAGTAATATATTGTTTGTCTAGGTTCAAAAGTTAAACTTGTTGCCATCTTCGAGTGGCACGAGCAGTGAAATAGAAAAGAAGTAAAATGTATGACGATTTATTCTTATAATAACTATTTAAAATATTATGATTTAAACGAATCTCTATTAAATAATATTTTATAATTTAATAATTAACACAAATTCAGTTAATATAAGTTGCCTTAAATTTATAACATTGTCTATAGTTTTTTTAATACTATATTTAAAAAAGATGCTAGCCAAGTGTATTGGTAATTGAACATTTTTATCATAAGATTAAACTAATTTATATTTCTAATAGGTAATACTTTACATTATTTGTGACATTAATAATGTTATATAGGTATAATTAAAAACATGAATATTCAAGAAGTAATAGAGTTAAATCGTATATAATTAAACAGCTGCGTAGAATTCAGTTAAAAATCTTAAGTTAAAAACTAGTAAGAAACATAACACATATAAACAAAACACCAAAAATACAGAATACATAAAACTAAATATTTACGTGATGGATAATACAACATGAATATTATTAATTTGTTCATGCATTATTTAATTTTAGTTTTATTATATCAGTTTTTAATTTTTATAAATTATGTATGAACTGTTTATTTTTTTTACAAATATGGGCATAAAACATTTTTCGAAATAAAATTTATAAAAATTATAGTATTCTATAGAAAAATTATTTTCACCCATCAAAATATATCAAATTTTTTACATGAAAAAATTAAAAAATAATTAAAAAATAAAAAATAAAAAAAAATTATTGTTTTTTTTTTTTTTCATAAGCTTATTAAATTAAGTTTTAAAATATAAAATTCTTTTAATTGCATTTTAATACTAAAACTTTCACTTCTATATTGTAGTAAGATAAAAATCTAAGTTCATTATTCCCTATAAAATCGATTAAAAACTAAACATAAGACCACCAAATACGACAAAGTAATTTTAACAATATCTTGGTCGTTTTTTTTTTTTTTTTTTAATTAAACTTTTCTTGGAATCGTTTTTTTTTTTTTTTAATTTTATCATTTTGAATAATGCCATTATTATTAATTTGAATAATAAAACACTGTAAACCATTACAACAACAGAGGTGATTAAAAATATATAAATGTCCAGTATACAAATCACTGACCAGACAACTTTTTAATTTGTATTGTGAATCGCATTTAAGATAATTTAGACGTTCTTCAATAATTATAAAACTTAAATGCCAGCAAAAAGATGTTTATACACAGTAAAAATATAAATAATGTTTTAGTGGGTATTTAGATAGTACAATGACGTTGTAAAATGTAAAACAATATAATTTATAATTAGAATCATTCAGATTATTAGATAAATAGATGCAAAGTTATACATTTTAATTTAAAGTATTATTATATTGTTAAATAATAATAATGAAAACTAATAAACAAAATAATTATTTGATATTGATTATTTTTTAACCATATTTAAAGTGTTTAATCATAAAGGTATTCTGAACTCCAGTACTTAGGTAGTTATATAGTAAAAAAAAAAATAGTTAATAATAATTAATATTATAACATACTATAAACTTATTTTGGAAAAACTGAAGCCAAATCACACTTTTTTTTTTTAATTGAACAAACTCAAACTAAATCGAACAAAATTATATATCAAATTCTACTAGAACATTAAAAAAAAAATATATTAAAACATAAATATTAATATTTATGACAAAAATACATAATTACATAGATTTTTCTTAACAATAATTGCACAAACATTTGATTAATTTTTAAACCAAACTATCAGATGTTAGGTTTGTAAACTTATAATTTTCAGTTCAGTTCTGTTCTGTTTAAAAATAAAATATTTTAAATTATATTTTAACACTTTCTAATTTTCAGGATTTATTTAGACATAAGTATAATATTAAATATAAAATTAATTTTATAAACTAAAAATATGCTCTTAGTAGATATGAGTTTTTGGATCTTGAAAAAACGACTAAACTAGTGTACAGCCAGTGTCTTTAGGAATGTGTGGTGCTAGATAGAATAATTATTAACTGTTAATTAAATATTAGATTTTTCAAAAAATCAAAACATCAATTAGATTTTAAAAGTTATTCTACAATCATTTTTAATTATCATGTGTACCCTAAACTATTATAAAAACTAATGTGATATATTTTTCGACATAATATGTTTGTGTTACAATTAATAACAAATATTTAAATGACTAAATTATTATTTTATAATTTTACCTAAATCTTAAGAGTACCTTGACTAAACGAAAAAATATGTGATTTACTAGGTGTATGAAAATTTATTATAATTAAAGATAAACAATATATTTTTATTTTTTTTTTCTTATTAGATAAGCTCGTGGTGATAATATATGGAATGACAATATATAATAAAACATATATTTTAAAAATATTTTCAATATCGCCAATAATAATTAAATATATGCTAACTAAAAATTCATAATTATAATAATTATCCACTCATCAGAATTCAAAATTCATAATAATTGGTTGATAAAAACGCAATTAACAAAAATTTTTAAATATTTTGGTATTTTATGGAATATATGCCATCATTAATTATGTTTGATTCAGCCAAAAATAAAAATGTTCGAGTTTTCATAGTTATCAGTACAATTCGGATCAAGTTATTATGACCATCAAACCAAAATATTTTAGACTAAATTAATAATTTAATATTTTGAATTTCTACAGCTGTGTTAGCTACCTATTTTATTGTAAGCATCATATTAAATGTAGCAAATATTCAAAAACAAATATGTCTACTAACATTCTATTTAGTACACATTATTTATTTCTATATAGTGAGCAAACATATTTCTTTATCTTTTTTTTTTTTTTTTTTTTTTTTTAATGTGATTTGTTTTATAATAAACTTGCAGCTTAAATCAAAAAAAAATCTTGACGAATTGATGTACTAACATATTATTGATAACTCTCGTAATACATTTTGTATTTAAGAAATAGAAAATTACTTTATTCGATTTAATAAGTTAATCATGTCCGGCTCAGTCCATCGGGTACGTCTGTTATTCAACAATTCGAATGAAATAGTTACTTAATAATTGATTTTATATGAGTCCTCACAGTTGAATCATAAACTTAGTACACCCATAATAATTTATTCTCCTGTAGGTCGTGGCATCGACATAAAATTGTGACAGGAATAGTTAACGAATTATATCGTTCATTTTTATAGAATTACAGACCTAACGAAAGTCAAACGAAATAATTTAATTCAGAAACTAATTTAACGGAAAAACTGACAATTCATTACATTATTATTTTATACTATTGTTGTGTTTGTTTAGTCGGTGACAAGTCGTCTCTAAACATAACCGTTGTACCGCGGGATCGCAACTGTCTATATTATATTATTATAGACTATAAAATTTAATATTGTACGAGTACGAAGCATCCGGTGATACGTGATAGTCGACACTCAATATATCGTTCATAATGATATTGTAATCGTTAAAAGTATCAACTACAAGGTATCTTTTCATATTGATATAGTTTGAAGTTTTTCTTTCTTTCTCTCTCTCTCTTTTTTTTTTTTTTTTTAATAAGAAATGAATTGATACACAATTGAAACTGAAATCGATCCGATTGTTTCATACAGGCCTTTAAGTATGTGGAATTGATTTCTTGCACGGTGGACTATAATGGGTTTGACTATCACCACGTACCTCGGATGTTGCGCATAACATAGGTTTTGACTTTGCCATCGGTCGAAATTCTCGTGTGGCCAATTATGTGTCTGCTTAGAACGTAACCCATACCTTATGGTTTAAACTAACGGAGCTTGGCCAGAGTATGTGGAGTGTTTAATTTCCTCTAATTTATTTCCTGTACCGCAGTCGACGTTTGGCGTTACGTGGATTGATATGGTATTTATCCTATAGTCGTGCGTACAACGAGCGAGAAAAAATATTTGTGGTCCAAGGGCGGCAGTATAATGTGACGGGATACAAAACGAACCCGCGATAATTATTGCACGTCGACAACATATTGCATACCCTAAGACCGGTAACGGTTTTTGGCGTTTCACGATAATATGTACCTATTATATTCGTCGAAGCTCGTTCGAGACGGCAAACTTCTATACGCGCGTAGTACGAGACGAACACTGCAAATATTGTGCGAAAGACTTGATGACGGGTGGTTTCACGACGTTATTGTACTTGGAAAAAAAAAAGAACACTACCTACGTGTTGAATGTGTGTACAACCGCCACCCGCGGATTTGGAGGTGTAGGAGGAAGAGCCAAAGGTGGCGTTAACAGTATTATAAAAAAAAAAATAATAATAATAATAATATACAGTGCAGTCGTAGCTACTAGTTGCTGTTCGAAAACGTAACAGTTTCGTCGGGGTCGGCGGTAAGACGACGACTCGGTCTATCGTTACGATAATAATATTATTATAACAAAATAATAATTTAATATTATGTCGACACGTCACGATACGATCACGTCGGCACGCGACGCGCGCACGCCGCGTCACGATTATCGTTCGTAACGATAAACGCGACTCGTCGTGCGCTGCTTCGGCGGCCAGTACGAAGACAATAATATTATTATATCTCTCACCTTTTATTTTCACGGCGGCCAACAGGAAGAGCACGGCGACGAACTTTGACGGGGACGACATCACGCGTGTGGACGGTGCGCGCGCGGCCAAAACCGACGACGACGACGACGACGAAGACGACGACAATCACGCCGGGACGCAATGACCGCTTCGCGGGGGGACGACCGGCACGGGACGAACGGACCGTTGGACGGACCGCCAGCGACACGGCCACCAGTTGCACCGAATCGTCGCCGGCATATCGCTACCGCGGGCTCTGGCTCTCGTGGCGTCTCTCAGCGCACGGCGACGGACCCGCGAGCGATGGTCGTCAACGACGCTGCTGTCCGTCGCGATATCGACGACGCAGACGGCTCGCGGCGGCAGCACCGGCCACCCATTACCACCCGGCACCGGTGTAGGATCTGTGGTTACACGCGGCGACGCGGCGGTGGCGATGCGGCAGTGTGATGTTCTACACCGTTTTCTGCTAGTGACGGCGGAGGAGACGAGACAGAGGAGATGCGACGCGGACGGTAAACGACGGTATGGGTACTCTCCGCGAGCGCGTACTGCACGTACCCGACGCGTGTTGTATTTGCGCGGGTCGCGATGAATGTAGCGACGGAGAGTGAAGAGAGTTGTCTGGGGAGGAGAGACGACGACGGAAAAGACTTCGAAAGAAAAAAAAATAATAATAAACTCCGAAGACCTATACACACATATTATGTATACGAAGTCGAAGAGATCTGGACCGATACACGAACAAGAAGACGACGACGACGACGACGGAGATGACGACGCGACGACAGTGAACGAGCGGACGTCGGCCGCGACGGACGAGAAGACAAACAACGGCGGTGGTGGCGGCTCACACACGACTAGCCGCCGGGACAGCGACGGAGGCTGATGGTCCTTATTCTTCTTTGCGCGGGCGCGCGCGTGTCAGGCCTTTGGGTGTGCGCGGTGCGTGAGTGCGGCGGTGCGCCCGTGGTGCGCGGTGCCCACGGTCCCGATGCGCTGCCGCAGCCGCCGGTGCTCGTCTAGCGATAGCGAGCGACCCACGACGCCGACCCCCCCGACCCACACACGGCGCGCACACACGCACACACGCACACACCCCCCGCGCGGACACACAGACCCACGCAAAGGGGGTTGGTGGGTGCCGCGGTATACGGCACCGACGCACACACATCGCCTTTAGCTGGCTGCCTGGCTGGACGTCCGTCTGTCCGTCTATCCGTCGGCCCGTTAGATGTGCCCACCGCGGTGATATCGTATACGCGTTTACACGTACATACTTTACAGCGTCCTTCTGTGCGTGTGTACACGGTAAGTAATGGGCACAACGCCTCCCCGCGCATCACACCCGTTCCTCGGATAAATGTGGCGGCCGCCGCCGCCGCCGCCGCGAGAGCGAGCGCAGCCGCCACTTTGGTTTTTCGAATGGCACGGAAGGGTTATAAAATAATAAAATAAAAAAATAATAAAATAAAAAATAATAGAATATATACGCGTTTACCCGTATTAGCATATCGGCGTGACCGAGTCTGTCCGATAGTTAAGACTAGACCGCTGTGGCGGACGCGTTCGATTCGAATTCAATGGTATTTTTATATTGCGATTGTGTGCGAAAAACGATTGTGAGCGTAGACTGAACGGCCGGTCTATAGTTTTATGTCACTATAATTATTTTTACGTGTTATTATTTTCGATATTCCCTCTAAAGCGATTGATTTCACTACTATTGGTACGTACCGAAAGGTCGATTAAAGTTTACACGAAAACGAAAGCGTTTAATGTATCATAATAATATTCTCATTAACAATGTAATCATACTGATATTTTATATCTATTGTATTATATTACCATGTGATTGGTATTAACTCTCGAGTAATCAACACGTTCCTGTAGAACGGAGTGTATAATATCGTGGTTGGCGTGACTAAGAAATAAAATAAAATTAATCTAAATATTTTGAAAATAGTGTTGCAATAATAAAATATATGAAAAACATTTTAAATGTTTCAAGTTGTTTAAATTACAACAAAGCCATCATCTTGTAATTTCGTCTAAAAAATTAAAAAAAAAATATATTCTTATATTTTTTTCATTCTTACTATGAATTTCTAATTAGGAACTTTTTATTTAATTATTAAGTCTAACCTTAATAAAATATAAAATATTAAATAATTTTTTAAGAAAAAAAATAATTTACAAAATGTTTGTAAATTTTAACAAATTTTGTAAAACATGTAACTTCAAATGCTTAATAATATATATTGAAAAAAAAAAATAGTAAATGTATATTTTTATATTTAATATATTTAAATGACATTAATAATAACTTATGAGAAATTTTATATTATTGACCATTAAAACAATTTTTAACTAAAATTACTGGAGAAAAAAAAAAAAAACTAAAACATTTCATATAACTATAGATAAATGAATAAAATAAAATTTATTTTTGAAATTAAACTATACATGAAAAATGATAATATGCACGTCATGTGTTAAACACTTTAAGTATCTACTTTTATTTGTTTTTAATTTCAATAATAATAAAAAAAATGTTTATTTTATTATTACATGCATTATTTTCAATAACCAAAAATTTAAACTTCATACACAAAAAAAATTATATATTTATATATTTAAGGAATTATCTACTCTCGATTATTTTCATTGGTTCTAACTTTTTACCAAAAACCCCGTCAACATTTAAAATCAAAACACTTTTATGTCTCTATAATAAGTGATGACTTACAGAAAAAAAAAACCTAATAATATTATTTAAAATGTATAAAATAAGTTATAGTACGTCTTTGTTAATGTTTTTTTATTTTATGGATGACTCAATTTTACTTATTTCTTAGAGTTTGTACAGTCATCTCGTAAGAGAAGTCTGGTCACGTTAATTTAAAAATATATATTATCATAAGATACTTAGCTGAATGGCACATTATTATTCGGTTAGGTTCGGATCGTACAATTATAGCACCGTGCATTCATAATACATAATGTTATATTTATCAAATACTGTCACCGTCTGCACGGTAGTAGCTTTACTTTTCGTCATCTCTTTGGAACTTGACCTGGTGTTACCTGAACATTTGAAGCTCGTCTTTCTTTCAAACAATTTATGTATCTTTTATGTACATGCTAAAACTAATTTCTCAGGTATCTACCATTATAAATAATATAATATTTCTATAATTTACAATACAATTGTACTTTTACCGTCTTCTTAATACCTACATAATTTTAAAGTCACGTTTTTTGATAATTTTCTACTGTATTGATTAAACCTGAACTTTTTTTGACAAAATATAAAGTATATGTATTTTAGAATAGATATGTTAATATAAAAATATATTACTAAAAAATAAGGATCAAATACTATCCGGACACCCTTAACACGACAGCGTTTAATAATATGTATGTATTTTGCACGAACAGCGAATCTTAGATAATATTATAAATATTTTTCGATAAGACATATTTTTATAAATTTGAACCCAGTCATTTTTCTTTTATATGACAAGGTATATTACAATACATATTTTGGGAAAAAATGACATTTTTAGTACGTCGTATAGTGTCTACATAATGTTATTTGTTTTGTACGAATTAAATATTCAGATAATAATATCTATCAATAAGTGTTTGTCTAACTTATAATTAGATCAACAATGTACTATGTCTTACTAAAATTGTTTTTGTATATAATATAAATAGCTGTATTTGGCACGGACAAAATTAATAATGATTATAAAATGTAGTGCTCGGTGTAATTTTGGTTTAAGTTTACCTCGGATCACGGGCATGTTATTGTCAATGTACCTTAAAGCTTTGTGAAGAAGAGGGCAGTAAAATTGGTGATTAGTGTATATAGAATTGTATATAATAACTTAACGAGTCAATTGGAAATATATTAGTATATGTCTACCTCTGCCCACGTAAATGATCAATTTTAAAATACGAAATTTTTTATTACTGTTAATTTACTAGTACCTAGTTTATATTATTCATAACTTATAATCAATAAAAGTATTAAAAAAAAAACAATATTTATACAATACTAAAATTAAACGAAGTTTAACTTAATTTTCAAACATTTCTGGTATCATTAATAAAAATGTCTGGTATTTTAGTCGATTATTTTTTGAATCTTTAAATCACAAATGTATGCCCATTGATAATAATAATGAGTATATTTATGTTAAGTAATAAAAAAATATATGTTCTCATTTAAAAATAAAATATATTGGTATTACTTTTCTTTTTAAGCATACTATAAATTACAAACTAATAATAAATTATTAGTTTTAGTTTCACTTTAATATTAATGATATCAATAGCATGTATTATTTACAACTTTAAAAAATAGTTACAGAAATATATATATATATATATATATATATAATTATTTATTTATTTTTAGTAATATAAAATATGTTAAGTGGATTTTGTATATAAACATTTCAATTTATTTTCATTTGATTGATTTTAAAATTATGTACTTTAAAATATTCTATCTAGGAATCTTATACGATAGTAGAAAATTAATAATGCTTATGAAAAAAAAAAAAAAAAATACTGGAAAAAACTATGTACCCGTCTACTGACAATATTCATGCAATAATACACAAGAGATATTACTTTTTACAAAATTCAAATTTTTTCAAAAATAAACTATAACTATGATAAATACAAATTTAAATTTAAAATAATTTTATTTAAGTATTTAAAATTATCCGTAATTCAAGACATGCATAATACTTTTATACAGAATTTGTGCGTGCCACCACCGTATTATTGTTTTTGGTTTCTTGACTTCTGTATTATGTGTTACAGCTGCCACCAGGAATACATTTTTACCGTAATAAATTATTATTATTTACTGTTGTTTTTTTGTTTTTTTTTTTTTCTTAACTTATACCACAGTAGATATTTTAAATAATGGTTACTGATATATGCTTTATTGAACATATACCTAAATAAAATATTGTAGCGTATAATTTATAAGTATTTACCATTTTATTGAATTAGAGCTTAACAACATTAACTGTAATGTCTTTCACAACTACTTGTAGTTGAATTTTTTATGCATCGACTCAATTTTAAATCGTCGCCAATAATCACTTACAACTAAATAGCCTTTTTAAATTAGACCATTTTCACTGTGTAATTAGAATGGATAAAATTCACCTCCGATCAAATGTGCATATTTCATTTTTGATAAAAATTCGGCTCGATACAGCTTAAATTAAACACGCTTTTTTAACTGAATTTATCCATACTAGGTGTGCATGATGGCTTCTGAGATCTATTATTTTTCTGTGGATGGAAAAATCTTAATTTTTATAAAAATTAATGTCTATTTTTAATTTTAGCGGTAATATTTAAAATAACATTGATGAGATAGTAAACATAAATATCTCTTTGAAAAATTACTCGTAAATAGAAAATATTTGAACTATCCGTATTAATACACTTTTTTTTTTTCAAAATATATATTTTTTTTTGCAGAAACGACAAATGCATGCCACTATATGAAACAATGTTCAATTAGATTTGATACAATTGAGAAAGTATATATTTCATTATAGAGAAATTCTCTGGTCTGGTAAGAGAGAAGTATTATCTTTGAGACGTCAAATGATACTGCGTGGAAGTTTATAGCGTGTTTCATAGATTTATTTTTATTTTTTATTAGTTTTTGGAAATTATACATTTTTACTTAAAACACTTAAACTATAAATTAATTTTACTTTACAATATCATGAATAGCTTAAAATATTTTATCATAAAAATATCATGAAAAATAGACATAAGTGAAGTTGCCCTATCCTTTTTGGA